AGGAGCAGCGAGGCGGTCCCGGTGGCAGGGTTGTGAAGGCAGGTTGCAATAGCAACGCGGTGGTCTGAACGTTAACTTGGGAAGGGGGAAGGACCGGGCGTTCCTTTCCTAGCAGGGCATGGATAAAGCCAGCCGGTCTGCTGTATCCTCACACGCCAGCGTGGGTCTCAAGTAGTGAGGGAGGACAATAACTCGGGAACGGTGAAATCTGGATTTCATTCCCAGCTCGGTTGCTTCACGTGCTCTCCTGAGAAGATTGTCTGTCTGTTCCTTACCTGTGAGCGGGGAGATTGGTGCTGAGATACTCTCAGGTGTATTAGGAAGCCACGTTGAGGGTTATTGTATTGCAGGGATTTCACCGTTGAAACTGAGGTGCTCTTCAGCCGGGCTGCATGTGTGTCTCTGATGAAAGGCGTCCCAAAGAGACTTTACACTGAGAACCGAGAAATCTGTGTGGAGAGTGCAAAAGATTGCCTGCTCAGGTTGGCACCGTTTGTACCTGCAGGTGTAATGGAACGGAGTGAAGTGTATTTTTAGAAGTTGACTAATAAAGGAAGCTGGCTGCCTTGCCTTCACAAGATTTAATTTGGTTAGGCATGGTAAAACAGTGTGAACATCTGTGTGATTGTACCACCCCCACGAGGGCAGATGTGGTCCCAGTGGTGAGACAGAATGAGACAGGTTCTCTGGTGGCTGGTTTTCTTCACCAGAGTTAAGGTTGCCTGCTATACTTGGTAATTATCCGATGCAAGCATGACACAAAAACCCCTCTTATCTGCCAAGTTCTTTGTTTGGTGTCTGAATAATATGCTTGGAAGATTTTTCTTAGTTGTTTGTAAACAAACAACTTATTTTGTTGAACTTGTTAATAAATAGTGGTTTATTTTTCAAAAACAACATGTTGGTGCTGGGAGACAAAATGCACACCAGAAATGTCAGGCAACAGCTGAAGACAAAGACCTCTCTTTATAGGGACTTAAATAGAGCCTTTGTAGAAAGGGTATTTTTATCACTTAAGCTTTCCAGTTAACCCAAAACACTTTAACTGTACGATGTAGCCTGGTAAGCTACTTAGAGGCTGCAGTTCTTTTTGCCTTTTAGGCTCAGAAAGCAATAGGAATTATGTACGCACGCTTTATCTATAGCCGGTGTCGAAGGACAAGGTATGGTGTGTGGGCCTACAAGGTGGATCAGTTCTTCACAGAGAATTCTTAGTTGCAGTTTTAAAGCTGTGCAAGGAGGAAGTCTTAGGTGGCCTCTAACAGATGTAACAATGAGCATTTTTGCTGTTGGCATTATTTGGCAGCGTTAGTAGAAGGAAAAGTCTGAAAACATCATAGAGTCTAAACTCCTTTCCTACTAGCAGGAGTAGATCCTTTTAGGGAACTGACCAGACAGTCTGCAGAAATTTTGCTCAGAAATTTTGTGAATTGTTTTTGCTTCCCGGGTAAATCAGCAGTCGAACCTCCTGGTTTCCTGGCCTGCCCTCTGAATGCTGCAGAAAAACCTGGCTCTGCTGACACGGAAACGTTACGATGCTGAGCGTACCTTCTGACCCACTGTCAGGAAGAATTCAGCAGAGGAGAAAGGATTTATTAATATTATGTTCTTTTATTGACAGGTTGAAAACCTAGAATGGCAGGAGAACAGAAACCGTCCTGCAATCTTCTAGAGCAGTTTATTTTACTAGCCAAAGGTACAAGTGGCTCAGCTCTGACTGCCCTTATAAATCAAGTGCTGGAGGCTCCTGGGGTTTATGTCTTCGGAGAGCTATTGGAGTTAACCAATGTGCGAGAGGTAAGAGATGAGTTTCTATCCTAATGCCCCTTCTGCACTCCCAGTATAAGGGATCCCCAGGAGTTCCCACAGGCAGGCTCTGTGTGAAATTTCTGTGCCAGGGCGGGCCTGGTGCAACTTACCTTGGTTCTGAGATGTTTGTGTATGAGAGATTGACGTCGCTTTTGCCTGTATATATTAGACATTAAAAAATACCTATATAAAGCTTTGCTGCCTTAATGTGATTGCTAATACAGCAAAAACCTGCCAGCAGCGCAGTAACCATTTTAAGAAGGCACCTAGCCAGCCAGCAACGAAAAAATCCATTTCTACTCCGTTGTCCTGGAAAGCGTAACTTCAGTGCTCTCCAAAAGTCTTCGTGAACAGATGTCTAGTGTATCAGGCCTGGGTGGCAACCAAATCCAAACCATTTCAAACCAAGGTGGAAAGTAAGTTCCAGAGCTTTTACTGAAAATGCCTCGCCAGCACCCCGTCTGCTACAGTGCGGGAATCTGTGTTGAGTATCTCTGCAGCTGGGGTGATGTGGCGTACAGCAGGTTTGGCTTTCCAGCTGGGCTCTTAGATATGCCGAAAAATGCCTCTATGGTTATTCAGCATCAACTTGCAAGTATGTTTTTTTCCTGGATCTGTGTGCAGCAAATGGTATTAAAAAAACCCCACTCAGTAAAAATCAGCACTTGGTGCTGCGGTTATTCCAGTGAAGTGTTTGCATGTCAGAGGAGTGCTATTGCTTTCACATGCACTTGACTTAAAATGTTCTAGCTTGCTTTGCTTTGAAGTTTTTGTGGCTCTGCAGGCAAGCTGTCTTAGCTTTCCCAGTAAGAGCAAGGATGCTTACGAACCAACACCATTGCCTGCTTGCTTGTCACGTCATAAGAAGAGCTGCCCCCGTACAACGTCAGCTGAAATGAAGAGTTGCCTTTTTCTTTTACCTCCTAAGGTGCCACACAAAGCAGCTGACAGTCCAAACTGTAGTTTAGTTCTGATGCGGAGAAACAACTGGATCATGCTGACTGTGAAACTGCTGAAATTTGCTGCTGCTCATGAGGCCTTAGAGAGGGTCCAGCTCTTTAAGATTGGGACATAATTGCTTTTCTGGGTGCTACTTGTCCTATGTAGATTTCAAACACGCTCTGGAGAAGTTGCCTACCAGGGTTGTATTGGCTGTTACTGTGTGATATCCCTGGATGCAGTCCTGTGTAACCTGCTGTAGGTGAACCTGCTTTAGCAGGGGGCTTGGACCAGTTGATCTCCAGAGGTCCCTTCCGACCCCCACCATGCTGTGATTCTGTTACATGGAATTTCTTTTGCTTTTTTCCCATCCAGCTTGCTGAAGGGTCTAATGCTGCTTATTTCCAGTTGCTGAACCTGTTTGCGTACGGAACGTACCCAGACTATGTAGGTAAGAGACTGGGTTGCCCTTTCAAATCGTCAGGGACGGCTCTTTGCTTTCTGTGGTACCTGGTGTAGTGTGGATGGGTAAAAGTTTCCAAGAACAGAATTTGCTGGGGAGAAGAATTGTTCACAGAGGGTCTCTGGGTCATACATGCTTTTTAATTGCTGAAAGGTGGAGATAAGGCTAGAGACTATGGTGTTTTTTACTGATCTGGATTGGACTGCAGCACTGGGTTGAGTTGGTCAGTAGCAGTATTCATAGACGTGCACAGGCCGCTTACCTCCGTGGAGTGCAATTTCAGACACCTGTTTTGAAATTTAGATGACACTGGCTATGGAAGCTGCAGAAAACTTAGACAAAATTGTTCTGCATTATTTATAAAAACCTGTGTGGTTTGTGGGATAACCTTATATTTTGCGACGGCATTGCTGAAACAAAATGAAGCGTTTCTTAGCTAGAATACAAATCGAAATAATTACTTTTGTACAGCTTCAGAAGGACTATGTGTGAATCATCTTAATATCTGTCGAGATGTGCTTTTATCGCTTGTGTTTATGCTTCCATTCTGCTACAATTTAATACTTCCTTTGTGGGTAGCAGCCTAATCCAGACCATTGCAGTGTGTGACAAATAATTCTGTCATAGTGCTGGCTATCGCTGCGGTGGATGAGCTGTCTTGTTGTGTAAGGAGAAGTGGCATCCGTAAGTGCAAGGACTGAATATTCCAGTGGCTGTGGAGCAACATGAGCCTCATGAATTCTGTGACTGATTAGAGGATGTGTTTGCTATGCGTGGGTCTTGTGTCCCAGCACGTGACAGCGCAGCTCGTTCTTCCTTTTCTAGTGAAGAATGAGAGGGAAAAGTAGTCAAAATGAAGAGCAGTGAATGAAGTGGGATGGATGGGAGAACTTGAGTGGCCCTGAAACACTAATTTCCATTAAAGCTGATATTTTAAAGAGTTTCTTTGCTTTGGAAAGCCGCCAGTTTCCTTTCTGATTTTAAATATTCATGAAGCACACGGATATAATACAATGACAGTGAGGCCATCTAGATTAATAATTTCTGCTCTCTTCCTGAGCCTGGTACTTTACACTTTAAACCCTAAATTCTGCAGCTCTTCAGAGAAATAAAACCAGCTCTATTTACAACCAGATCATCAAAGGGGGAAGATTTTATTCTGTTGGCTTATTAGTCAAATAAAAATGACTTTGTGGTAGAAGCAAAGCATTGACCAACCATTTTGGCAGGACGTCACTTGTGTAGATGTAAATGACGTTTTAATTCCAAACCCAGCGTTGCTAAAGAAGTAGAGAAGAATGGAATTGCCAACTTGTTTTTTAACTTTTCCCCTCTCTCCCTGGGTGTGCTAATCTACCATCAGCAGCAGCTCTCTCTGCTCACCAGCACCCAGTAGCTGGAGGAGTTCAGCCTTTTCGGGGTTTAGTGTGGTGTAACTAGCCTGAAGTTCTGCAGCCTGGATTATATGATTCTTGAAGCAGATTCCTAAATCTTGTCTTTTTAACATTAACAGCAAATAAAGATAACCTGCCTGAATTAACAGTGACTCAGAAAAACAAGCTGAAACACTTGACGATTGTAAGCCTGGCTTCCAGGATGAAGGTAGAGTGCACCGTGTATGGTAGTTGTCTTTTTGTTTGGTTTTGTTTTTGAAAATGGCATAAATTCCATAACATTGAAGTTGTATCGGACTGCATGAGTACTCACAAAAAATCCTGCAACTAGGGAAGTACCTGTGATGTGCAGTGTTCTCTCGTGCTGCATTTGGGACATTAATTTAGTGGACTTCCATGGATGAGATGTTGGGGGTGTCTGAACTGCCATGCAAATTGATCAGGAAGGGCTGGGAAACTTTTGTGTGGCTTCTTCACTGCTGGAGGTGGAGAATCGTTGTTAAAACCGCTGACTTTCTGTTCTTCAACATTCTTAATTACTTCTATAACCCCATTATGTTTTTGCCTCTAGCATGTGCTATGCCAAAGCTTCAGGAATTACCAAAGTTGTGTCAGAATATTATGTAGCCCAGTAGCAGGCGTTCGTTCTGCCACGATCAGTCACTGCTGTACTTGCAGGTTAAGGTGTAGGGTGCAATAAACATTTGGGTCTTGACCTTCTGAGACTTAGCTGTTCATTTTGGCTCTAGGACTGTTAACTTACTCTTGGGCTTGCTGTTTTTAGTGCATTCCCTATTCTGTGTTGCTGAAGGACCTGGATATGAGGAATCTGAGGGAGTTGGAAGATCTGATTATTGAAGCGGTTTATACAGATATTATCCAGGGCAAGTTGGATCAACGAAACCAGGTGCTAGAGGTGGATTTTTGTATCGGCAGAGACATTCAGAAGAAGGACATCAGTAACATTGTCAAAACGCTCCAGGAATGGTGAGGCAGTCTCTCCACCTTCCTTGTTCCTTGTACATAGGTTGTCCTGTTTTTTTTTTTCTTATTCCTCAAAGTTTCAAGTGCTGGCTCAACTTCATCATGTTCCATTAATTGGGAATCTTATGCTGTAAGTAGGCACTTGGAGGAGGAGTCTTGGAGCAAGTTATACAAGAGCCTGTGTAGGATTCAATTTGTGTTATGTATCAAGCCAAACTATACTAGGCCTCGAGATTCTGCTCTCACCATAGCTTTTACATAGCAAAACCCTAGCAAGGAGTCAGAGCCTTTTCAAACAGACATGCCAAAATGATCTTATGGTGGGAGCTGCTCCGCTTTCTGCCATTCCACTTGATAACAAAACCAGAACTGTCCATTACTTTTCAGCCTTTTTTACTGTGATAAACCACATGGGCAAATTCTGGAGAGTCACAGTTCTTTGGAGGGGATGTCTCTTCAAGTTTGAAGTTTCAGATGCCTTTGTTTGCCTTCGCTTTGGTCCTGCAAATGCAGGCTGCAGGCAGCCGTGTTGGGACTGTGGTGCTATCTTTTTGTACCTTTGCCAGGAAGCTGCTTCTCATCTTTCTGTAGGATTCCCTTCCCTCCCAAAGAAATTCCCCTGAAGATTGTGGAGTCTGTGGCAGGTTCTGAGCTGACTGGAAATTGCTTCCTAGTTGCTGTGGTAATGAGTGTATGAAAAGTAATTGAACTGCTGGGCAAATATGCCGTCCTGAGGTGGGGGTGGGTTTTTTTCCTTCTCTACTCCAACTCCCTCAATCCCATCACAGTGGGAGGGCTCTGGCAGCTTCCAGGACCTTACAACATTGTTTGGAAGGTAAGAGTGAACCCACTGCCAATTCCCTTTCTGTCCTCTCCAGTTACAAGTTCTGTGTGGGAGCAGTGCTCTTGTCTTCTGAACACTTGACAGGCAGGAGGATTCTCTCAATCTCATTTTTTTTTGTTTAATTTTAAAATCTTACTTACTTTTGAAAAATGCATTGCATCCCCATTTAAGTAGTAATTCTGATGGAAGTTGAAAGTGTGTTGAACCTGCCCTAACTGATGGTAAGATGGGCTCTGTAAATAGTGCTGTGAAATACACTGAGTAAGTAGCAAAGCTTTTTCTTGTCAGCTTTTTGGAATTCTAGTCTTTAAGCAGGAGGTAGAAATGTAATGATCTCCTAAACTTGACTTTTCAGATTGTTTGATTGAGCTGCTCCAGAGAGGACTCATAAACAGTGTTTGACGTTTGTGTCTTGCAGGTGCGACGGTTGTGAAGCGGTTCTTTTAGGAATTGAGCAACAAGTACTTAGAGCCAACCAATACAAAGAGAACCATCACCGAACTCAGCAGCAGGTAGAGATGGAGGTGGGTGGAGAGTCGCTTCAGACCACTCTGTGCTTTTTGATAAACGTTTGTTTACTGAAGAAAATAGTCTGCTGACACCCGGTCAATGGTCATGGCTTCTCTGAAGCAGGCTAGGAGTCATGCAAATCAGATGTGGCGGTTTTGGGGGGGGGGAGAAAACGCATCTGCTTCCATGTGCTAGTAACACCACAAACCTCAAATTTGCTGACTCTGAGCAGGTTGGAACTTTTCTTTATAAATTTTTATAAATTTAGCCTAGGTGGCTGCACTAGCTATGGTTTCCTGAACGGATTTGTTAGAAGTGTGCTTTTAACGCAGAGCTTTGATGGCATTCTGTTCCTTTTGTGCAAGGCAGGAAGGAAGGAAAAAACAGTTGTCTTTGTTTTAAACCTGAAAGTGTCATTAACAAAAAATCTCTCGAGTCTCATTGCTTTTGCAAAAAGTGCCCTCGGGAGCTTCTTTCGGGGGGGGTGGGTCACATTGAGCACCCAGATGACGCTCTCCAGCAGCGTGGCCTGGGCGCGCTCCTGCCTCTGTTCCTGCGCAGCCAGGCGGTAGATGGCAGCACAGGCACGCGATTTTAGCTCCTGCTGATGTGTATTTACTTGTGAGAACAAATCTTGGCTAATACAGCTGTAAAGGTGAAAATGGTCCTCCCGAGACACATGCTCAGGGTTTATTTCTCGCAGAGTGCTGCATCCCTGCAGGTTTACGTTTGCCTTCTGAAGCAGCGTACGCTTGGCGGCTTGATTGGCATCCCTAGTGCATTTGGTTTGCCAGATGCCTTTGGCCCGGAGTTGGCCCACCTGACTCCTGAAGTTGTTTTGGCCTGTGAGGTTTTTGGTTTGGTTTGGTTTGACTTTTTAAGGTTTGCTCATTCTATTTCTGGTGAGCCCTACAGGGTTCCGGCGGACAGAGTATGGTGCCTGGTGCTGTATCTCTCCTTTTCAGCCAGAGTAGTAGAAGCAGTATTGCTGCCTCCCACAGAACCAGTTTCTGTTCTTGCTTCTAGCAAATCTCTGTGGTTCTGACAGACAGCTAGGCCAAGTGGCATTTTCCCTTTTCAAGTGCAGTCCTAAGTATAAGTTTGTTTCTTTCGCAGTCTCCTTTGTCCTTCCTGCTTCTGGCCAACATAATGGTAGGATGGCTGCCTTCTGCACCAAGGCAGTAGTAGGTGGTACAATATTGTGCCTTTGTCTGTTAGGGGGAAAAAAAAAAAGTTCGTTATTCCATATTGGACCCAGACTGGAAATATTAATAACTGGCTGTAAGTGAGGATGAAACATTGCCTTTAATAAACTCAAGTGCAGAGCATGTTTCTGTTGGGAGAGTTTATTTTATAATCTCCACTCTGTACTCCAGGGGTTTTTCAATATGTTTATGAACAGAGTTTCTGCTGCGAGAGGAGGAGGAACCAGGTGCTGATTCACTGTCTCTTCTTGGCCAGGTCACAAACATAAAGAAAACATTAAAAGCTACAGCCTCGTCGTCGGCACAGGAGATGGAACAGCAGCTGGTAGAGCGAGAGTGCCCTCCACACACAGAACAAAGGCAGCCCACAAAGAAGATGTCCAAAGTCAAAGGGCTGGTCTCCAGCCGTCACTAGAACATACCATCTAAATGTCATTCAGCTAGGAATGACAACAGGAGGAGCAAGAAAGGGCCTGCGTCTCCTTTTTCAGTGGGTTCTGGGCCAGTCCTTCCAGGCTGGCAAATAAAAGCCCTGTTTGAATACAGCTCCCAGTTAGCAGCACCTGGCTAAGTTACACTGTGCAGCCCCTATTAATGTCCAGGGTGTCCCTGTTCTGGTCCTGTGAAGAAGGACTTCTAAAGAGAGGGACTAACCAAAAGGGGCAGGGGAAAATAAAAAATCTGTGGACAGTTTTGCTCCCTCCCAGCCAGTCTCATTGCTGCTTAACCTTGAGGAAGCTGCTGTACTAAGTCAGATCTTGGGAGAACTTCTGTAGCAAGTGTCTGAATCCCAGGGTTGAAGTTTGGCTACCAAAGCCAGGCTGGGAGCGAGGAAGCCATCAACACAGATCTTTTCATTTCCAAAGGGAGCACAGAAAGGTTTCTAGGCCAGGAACTGCTTTATATGGAAGTCTTCAGCCTTTCCGCTACCCCTGTGTATTTTAAACTGGGGTGAAATTCACACTACCTCGCTCTGTGAAGATGAGATCCAGTGCTGGGCTGTTTACTTAACTGTCTGTTTACTGCCCTTACTAAGCCCTTTAATCTCTCACAGATTTAAAGCGCTGTTCTGCATCTCTGAGGCGTCAATACAATAAGGAGGAAGCAGGCTGCTCTTTCAAGCCTTCCTTCTTGCAGGTTGTTGGGGCTGTACTAGAAACTGTTTCCTTCTGAATGTGATGTGACCTCCCAGAGCTGCTTGTGAGTTGTTTCCCCCATTGATACCTTCCAAGGGTAAGGCATTCGCTCTTCC